GCAGGCCCAGCTGTGCATCACCAGCGTCTCCGCGCCCCCTCCTTCCCCCCGCCACTCCCCAGCCCCACACCCCCCTAGGAATGGCTCTGGTCATGTGTGCATGCGTGTCCGTGCCGGTGTGGTGTACCATGGGAGGGGTGGTCACACGCGTTTGCTGTGATGAGGTGCAGGATGTCATGTGCGGGTGAGTGCAGTGCGTGGCCTGGGGTGTTGTAGGTGTTCAGTGTGGTGTGGTGTCCTGGGTGTGTCTGTGCAAATGTGATGGGCTGTGGGGTGTCATGGGGTGTTTGGTGTGGTGTGGTGTGGCGTGTGTGCGTGGGGGTAGTGCACGCTTCGGTGAGCCCGAGTTCACTTCATGGGAAGCTGGGAGAGGTCATGCAGAAAGCAGTGGATATACGCCCTCCTTTCACAGCATCTGACAAAGTGAGCTTCAGCTCAGGAAAGCTTTCTATATACACACACACACGCGCGCGCAGACTTCAGTCCGTCTGCAAGGTGCAAATCTACCCTGCCTTCAGACTAACACAGCTACCCGCATCTCTCAACCAGTCTCTGTCTGGTGCCCAGACAAGTAGATAGAAGACAAGTAGTACTGGAAGCGACCACCTTTTTGTATGGAAAACTGTTCATCATCAAAAGTGTCTGTCAACACAATTAGGCTTTTTGGATAAACTGAATCCAAATGCATTTTAAAACTTCACTTTTTCCTCTCCTGAGAGCTCAAATATCAGTGGCGCTGCACTTTAAACTCACAGGCCCTCGCCTTGTTTAGGGCCGTTCTGTAAATGCTTCACCCCATGGATTTCAATGAGATTATATGAATCATAAAATCATAGAAAAATACTTCTGAAAGGGACTTCAGGAGGTTTTACCTCCTGCTGAAGGCAGGGTCATCATCCCTGCCTAAACCTTTCCAGACCAGCACCACGATCTTCCAGTGATAAAGACTCTGCAGCCTTCTTTGGTAATCTGTTCTGCATAGTTAAGTATAAATGTAACTTGCAAAGATATATATATCTAGATAGATAGATAGATAGAAAGAATCTTTGCAGGAAGGGGGCCATATCTCTACAGGATTGGGGCTGTCTTTTTTTATTTGACAGCCTGTGAAGATTTATTAATGTACTTATCTCTATCCACTGTAAAAAGCCTTGTTGAAGTCTCGAGACATGGAGGGTTAATCACATGCAACTCTGCCTGCGTGCAATTCCCGTCAAAGAGGAGGGCAGTACTTGTGTAAAGGCAATGCCATGGTACATGCATGCTTCAGTGTTTCCAGGAATGTTTTTATTTGTTTTTACTTCTAATCATCTGATTTGTGCTCTTTACTGACTGCATTTCTCCCTGTTTTGATAATAAAAAATCATTAAGTCCTTTACCTATTCTTAGTTATAGGCAGCTTGACTTTCCGGTCTCAGTGCTTCCATAATAGGTTTGGGTTTATTTGTTTAAAACAATTATTGCCACTCATTTTGTTTTAAATGGAAACATTTTCTTTCTCACTCTCTCAGGTTTTATACAATTCCTGCTTAAATAAGAATACACTGAAGTAGACAGGGTCCCTAATAACCTTGCCACACATAAACAGAAGGAAGTTTGCAACCATCAGAATAGCAACAGAAAAGCCTTCCAATAGGGGCACTGAAGGCAAACACCCAAACTAGTTTTAAGATGGAGCTCGATACATTTATTAAGGATTCATTCATTTATTTTAAAATTTATCCAGGAACTGGATTTTATGATATGGTTGCCAGGGACACCAGGGAACTGAACTCAGTTTGAATAAGTCAGATTCAAAATTAACATCATAATTTTACAGGCCTAGTAAAGAGTGTCGGCTGAATTTTTGACAGCGTACCAGTCTCCGTCTCCTAAACAAGGACAGGTGCTTTGAATGTAAAAAGCAATCTGAGCTTTACATCCATATAAAAGCATTCATGTCCTTTGGCGTAGACATGTCCAGCTGGGTTAATGAAGGCTGTCAATTCCTTTGGCTAGGCCCTAATCCTGCAAATATTTACATATGTCCTTAAATTTATGACCCTGAGAAGTTCCCAAATCAACAGAACTTCTCTAGATCTTCAAGTGAAGCACTTATGGATATGTTTACAGGACTGGATCTCTTGTCATTAACTGCTAACAAATGCTCAGTCCGGAGGCCAATACTGTTTAATTAATTCCCTGACAGTACTACTTTTATATACCATAAAATGTACAGACTTCTCAATGTAAATGCTGGGACATAAGTGAAAAAGCAAGTGATTTGGGTGGTAATAAATCAGAAGTTCTTTCCTGAACGGATGCAAATTTCCTTCTGTCCTGTAAGTCAGGTGGGAGAAAACCCTGGTGCTTTCTTTCAAGCCCAGTCCTTCGACTGTTGTATATTGGGGACCAACACTGCATCCATGCAGAAAGCAGGTTCCTGTACAAGGCATATTAAATAGAGGATTATATTATTGATGTTGAGGTGATAGGTTTGGTTTGTTCGGTTTTGGGGGGGGGGAAGAAGGGTTCTGTCACAACCATTATTTTAGTATAATTCTTGTCTGTTATTAAAGCGGCTTTCCCTTCAGTAACAGCAACAAAGAATCCTGGATTGCAAACCACCTTGCTTCCCGATGAACTACAGACAATGCTCTATTGATTGCATGTAGTAGCTGTCCTCAGAAAATGTTTCCATCATAAATATGATTGTCACAACAATGATACTTTCTTTTACTCCTAAACCTGTACCAGTACCTACCCCTCAAAACCAGAAATGTGAATCCAGGCAGAAGGTTTTTGCCTGAAAAAGAAGCGTCAGAGACTCCATCGATTGCTATCGCTATTTCTTTTACAAGAAAAATGCTAAGATACTGCAGCGATAGGTGACAGCATAAAACCCTAAGGTAAATGGATCATTCTACCTGTAACTAAGCAGAGATAAACTAAAATCAGGTGTTCAAGTGATCTGTTGTTCAGTGACATTGTTTTCTTTTCACAGATGTATAAGATTTGCCATAATAAACTACAATGGTGTTGTTGATGTTGTCATCAATATATTGGTAAATTATCACTATAAGAGCACAGCATTGATAAACTGTCAATGTATAATGAGATTTTAGAACAAGGAGATATTGCAAATACACAGACAAGTATTTTGTGGACTAAAACCCACACGTACTGCTACTGAATGTCAGCCCCTAATACTTGACCTTGTACAGTGCTATTTACTGTTATGCTTCTCCTTACCACTCCTTTCAGACCAGCTGAAGCTCCTCCTGTTTGAATGCTGTACTTTTGGGAGTAAGTAGTTCTCCCCTGCCCTCTTCATTTGATGACCAGATTCTCAATATAGTGCAGCAATTAACAGAGAAAGGAGCTGGTATTGAAGGGAAGAAGGCATAAAACAGGATAGCCTGAGAACTCTCCCATCAAATGATATACTGCTCGATTTATACAGTTGCTGCAACGAATCGCTTAAGAGAAAACTGGAAGGAGATAGAAAAATGGGGCCCAATTAGTCCTCAACGTCACTGATGTTTTGCTCCATTTGTGTTGCATTGAATTTGGTGCATGTGGGGGCAAAGCTCAGGAAGCAAAAGAGCTTATAGGTAGCTCCTCCAGGGCTGAGAAGATAATTCAGCCTCTGTGATTTGGGGCTCTCCTGAGACAGCCAGTTGGTGCTAATTGCAATAGTACATTTTTGCCACAAGCACATCTGTCCATTAGGAAACAGACAAAGACAAGAATGTTTCGTTTTATTTAGGCCAGCAGATAGCCAGCAGATAGGGATCTTGGCCAGCACATGCCTGTGCAAAATCTGAACTGATGGGTTAGAAGTAAAAAGGCTCCTTGTCTGACCTCTGAGTCCTGTGGCTTACCCCAAGAGTATTTTAAGAGTGAGGCCAGCTCAAGGTCTAAGTTTAAGGGTGTTGCCACTACTATCCTTCAGGTCAACACCTATCTGGTCTCTTTCATAGTCAGGGTTTTAACATGCAACCCATTTCTGCACTTCAAAGTTCATAAAAATGGATTGTTCTTTCATCCATATCTGAAGGATATGCACCAGTTTGCCCAGAAATAAAACAGCTTAATTTTGACAATATTACATTGATTCTCCAGCCCTTGAATTGCCTATATTATAGCTGCCTGTTTTTCTGCTTGATATGTTGGCAAGAAATAGTCCAGTTATTCAAATGTGGCTACTACTTTAAAACTATCTATGCTCAAAGGAGACAAGTAAACACTACATTTTAATGTAGTATTTACACTTAAATATTTTTTTTTGATCATCCACTTCCTTGCTACTCTCTGCCTTTTAACTTTGTTATTTTCTTCCCGCTTTCATCAATAATTTTTATTTGCTGTATACACCCACTCAGCAACCTCATACTGCATGGTAGGTTTGCTTTTACTATACTGTTCTCCCTCTAGTGAAACATTTTTCCAGTGTGTCATGAATTCATCATTACTCCAGCAGAGGGAGAAGAGTAGCAGCAGAAAGATCAATTCATCAGTTCAGTGGACAAGAGTACTGACTGTCAAGTCAGAAAGTAGGAATAATATGGTCACATTAGAAACTGACTTTACAGGAGCTGGAGGTGGAAAGATAATTTTCTGTCTCACAGCTGGATCGTGCAACTTTACGTATGACAAGATGAGAAAGTTACCATTCTTGCATGGGCGCTTACTATTTTTCCTTAATCATTTGCAGGGCAATTGTCTTAAAGTATAAAAATAGTTTGGGGTTGTACTAAATAGCTCAGAGGGAAAAAGTATTCTGAATACGTAATAACACCTTGAAAAATAAATTTATATGGATGAAAAACAACTGGAAACATGAGTAAGCAGACTGGGACAGAGAGTAAAGTGGCTCAATGGAAAGGGCAACCCTAGAAACCAACAAAGGGAAACAAGGATCAAGACTAGAGCAGTTCAGACCCTTCAAATGTCTTCTTTGAGGAAGGGGTTTTGTAAAGGAAGCAGAACAGCCTAGGAGCTGTGTTTTTTTCAACTGAAGTGGTCCCAGAAGTGAGACTGTGGGTGGATGCACATATTTTTGGGCGGGAGAACAAGAATGGAGGTAAGTGAGCTGACTAAAAGAGAACAAGGGTGAATAACTTATTTGAGGAGGGGAAAGAGAGAGGTGGGAAAGATACTGAGGGAGAAGAAGAAACATGACAAAGAATGATACAATGTAGAAAACAATGTAGCAGAACAAACAAAGTATAAGGGAATGAAAGTAAAGGAGGAAAAAAGGAATGTCACCCACATAAAATGACAGAAAAAGATTTACATGATCTGTAACAGGACAGAAAAAGTGGGATGAAGCATGGAGGAGAAATACAAAACAAGATGAGACTAAGATTTCACTTTCCAGCTGATTAGATACAAAGCTAATTGACAATACTATAGTTCAGTATAGTACACAAACAGTACATGTTTTAAGATGCAGGGTGTGGTTGTTTGGGGGCATGGCATTGGCAAATCGATTAACAGTCTTCTTCCTTGGATGGGTGTTACTGACACTAGTCATAAGCATGAAAACATTGTCTCTAATGACCGAAGACTATCTGTCACATGAGAAAAAAGGATAGCAGCCCCCTGGGTTCGGGACTCCTGGCAAGTGTTAGGAAGGGAACCCTGACAGGATGAGTCTCAGCTAGAACAACAACTCTGTATATTGCAATTATACAATTTGGTTTTTTGCTTAACACAAATGTGGCAGTGTGATTCTTTGAGGCCTCTTGTGGCAACACCAGAGCCTATATAAGGATGCACGGAATTTCATAGTTTCATAGTTTCTAGGGTCGGAAGGGACCTGAGCAGATCATCAAGTCCGACCCCCTGCCATGGCAGGAAAGAGTACTGGGGTCAAACGACCCCAGCAAGGTGTTCATCTAACCTCACCTTAAAGACCCCCAGGGCAGGAGCCAGCACCACTTCCCTTGGAAGTTGGTTCCAGACCCTAGCCGCCCTGACCGTGAAGTCGCGCCTCCTGATGTCCAACCTAAACCTACCCTCTACCAGCTTGTGACCGTTATTCCTGGTCACTCCTGGTCATGCTCGGGGGAACAGTGACTCCCCCAATGTCTGCCTGGTTTTTTTTTTTTCTTTTTTCCCCCCACTCGCCTCTGCTCTGGGTCTGGTAAGGGGGCACGTGTGTAAGACACACGTGTGCCTGTGTCC